GTTGGGAGGCTTTAGTGCTTTACCTTTGAAACACACTTCATGCGAGGGATTACTAAAATAAATACACTTGCGTTTAATTTACCCGAGTGTACAGGGGAGGGGTGGGGGGGTGGGGGTTAGGTAGAGTTATATATACTATATGATATCCTGGTGTTCAGAACCTATAATAAAACACTTAATACCCTTGTTATATACGTATATCACATTCACCCCAAGATTAAACAGGTATCATATATAAACTAACAGTGTATAATATAAAATAAATCATGACAATATATCAAAATATCAAAGGGGAGCTAAATATAATATCACGCCGCCATGACTCAAAGCTAACATGATCTGATGCTGAGGCGAAGTGAGGGCCTCCCTGGGGTAGCTTGTCATCCTCTCCTCTATTACCTATGGAGATTGACACCACCCCCACGGCGCCACCAACACCCCTCACGGCTCCTCCACCACCCCACACCGCCTCCGCCACCCTCCACACCGCCTCCACCACCTCATGGCTCCTCCACCACCTCACACCGCCTCCACCACCTCACACCGCCTCCACCACCTTCATGGCTCCTCCACCACCCCCACACCGCCTCCACCACCCTCACACCGCCTCCACCACCTTCATGGCTCCTCCACCACCCTCACACCGCCTCCACCACCCTCCGCTCCTCCACCCCTCCCGCCTCCACCACCCCACCGCTCACTCATGCTCCTCCACCACCCTCACACCGCCTCCACCACTCATGGCTCCTCCACCACCCACTCTCAATATCACGGTGAAGGAGGCGATCGATGTTCAATTATTTATTTTCACGATGACTGAGGATATTGGGTCCCAGTCTTCGTAGGTTAGGTTAGCTTAGGTTAGCTTAGGTTAGGTTAGATTAGGTTAGGTTTGGTTAGGTTAGGTTGGGTATTTTGAGTTCAGTAATATTTCAATCTCGTAACACCAACAACGATGCGTCTCTGTCCATAGCCAGGAGGTAAATCTTCATCACCAGGAAATAAAAATCGTATATTGGACATCGAGAGGTCATGGAAATAATTCCTGGAAATAAGGCGACGCGAAATTCATGAAAGTTGACGGCGCGAAATTAATGTTGGCGGCTGGGAAATTTAACAAAGGCCCATTGATGTTGTATTTAGACTTTGACGATTAAAAGATACTGTCATACTAATACTATTTCACACACACACACACACACACACACACACCTAAACGATGTAGGTAATCAAATCCTTGACCGTAATTGGTAACGTGGCCCCTCATGTGTGACGCTGTGTATGATGACTTAATACCTTGTGTATGATGACTTAATACATTGTGTATGATGACTTAATACCTTGTGTATGATGACTTAATACCTTGTGTATGATGACTAAATACCTTGTGTATGATGATTTCTTTATTTTTCTGTTTCTCTGTTTCACGGTTTTGTCTCTCTCTCAGTCGTCGTTGTTATTGTTGTTGTTCTTACTGTTGTTTTATTGTTGTTTATGTTGTTGTTGCAGTCGTTATTATTTGTATTATTATTATTGTTGTTGTTGTTGCTGATATTGTTGCAGTTATAATTGCTGTTGTTGTTGTTGATGTCATTGTTATTGTTGTTGTTGTCGTCAGTAGCTATAGCTTAAGCCCAGCTTGGTAATCAGAATCGCCCCGGGAGAGCGTTTGACGTCACAGCAAGTCGTCCGGAAGGTTGGTAATTGTGTTCAAACCGCTGCACCACTGTACCATTATACCACCGCCCCACTGTACCACTGTATCATTATACCACCGCCCCACTGCACCACTGTACCATTATACCACCGCCCCACTGCACCACTGTACCATTATACCACCGCCCCACTGCACCACTGTATCATTATACCACCGTCCCACTGTACCATTATACCACCGTACCACTGCACCACTGTACCATTGTACCACTGAACCATTATACCACTGGCCATATAATCAAGATAAGCAGCATTAAAGACACCGTGATAACCTGCCAACCTCATTCAGCATTACAGAACACACCTGAAGTCTCACCTGGACACCTACAGTAACTCATGGGCCTTGTGTAAGATTAACTACAGCACACCAGACGACTGTACTGTATTACATTATGTTGATAGGAGATTCTCACTCACTCACGCACTCATTCATGCACTCATACATTCACTCATTCATGCACTCATACACTCTACCATTCATGCACTCATACACTCAAGCATTCATTCATACACTGACGTTCATGATGATTTTCCTAACGTTCAAGCTGACGTTCCCCTGTTCAGAAAGATCCAGTACGATAACGTTTCCCCGTAAATGATGACGTAACAACGAACCTGACTGGCTGACGTAAGATAACTCAGCAAAGAAAAAAAAAATCGAAAATGGTACCAAAACTGAACAGAGACTCTACCTTAACTACATAACGTTCACTTAAGACCACAGCAGTTAAAGGGACACTGTTAATAGTATTGTGAGTCCTTAACCTAACCTAACCTAACCCAACCCATAGGAGATTCTTGGAAATAGAGACTTTTACTCTTTTGGATAGGAGAGAAATAGAGAGAGAGAGAGAGCAGAGATTGAATTATTTGATACGTCGTCTAGAGAATAATGAAAGGTCTTTTAAGTAAATATCTCTCTCTGTGTCTCTCTGGTCTCTCTCTCTTTCTATCTCTCTCTCTCTCTCTCTATACCACAATTCCCCATCCCTCTTCTCTATCTCCCTCTCTCATGCGCCACCTTTCCCCTACGTTCGCTATCCCATCCTCTCCCTCACTCCTTTCTCACTCTCTCTCTCATTCCTTTCTCCCTCTGCTCTCATTCCCCCTCTCCCTCTCCTCCTCTCTCTCTCCTCTTACCCTTTCCCTCACCTTCACTCCCCTCTTACTTTCTGCCCTCCCTCTTTCCCCTCTCACCCTTTGCCCTCTCCCTCTCTCCCCTCTCACCTCTTGCCCTCTCCATCACCCAAACGTCATCACCAGAGCGTAAGGGAAAATGAAGTCTTTCTAGTTCAATGGCTGACTCGATTTCGCTCCACTATAGCTTATGTTTGGAGATATCTTTATTAAATTCTCTCATCCTCCTTTCTCTTCTTCCTTCCTCTTTCCCATTTAGTATCTTTTTTCTCATTCTCTTTCTTTTTTTTTTTTCATTTGCGTACTTTAATTGTATTTTCTCTCCTCACTTCTCTTTTGTTCTTTTTCTCAATCTCATCTTTCTATCTCTCTCTCTCTCTCTGTCTTTCTTTCATCTATCCTATTCTCTCTTTCACTATCTACAGAACTATATTGACAACTAGTAAATACCGCCAATTTTTATCGCGAAATACGCAAAAAAAAAAAAAGTCGTCAAACTGGGAGAAAATTCATCCAAAGTTTGCCAGGGAGGAAAACCTGTCCACAGCTCACTATATTGGTGAAGGAGACGTGGAAATGAAGGGAGGGAGAGAGAGAGAGGCAGACAGACAGAAAGACACAGAGAGAGAGAGAGAGAGTGACGAAGCAGCAGCAACAAGGGTGACAAAAACCGATTAATACCTTAATAATACCTAATTTGCATATCACAATCTAACTTTACCTCACTAAACTTTTCAAGGGTCATTAAACAAACGGCGGCAGAGTAGAAAAAAAATATTACCCCCTGAAAATATAATTCTTCTTAAAATAAAATAATAAAAAATATTAGAAAAGAATTATAACCAGAAAATAAAACAAATATATTTTATATACTTATTTTTAAGGCGTCAATTGGTGTGTTAGGTGATGTATGTTGTGTAGTATGTGTGTTGTATGTTGTGTAGTATGTGTGTTGTATGTTGTGTAGTATGCGTGTTGTATGTTGTGTAGTATGTGTTGTATGTTGTGTAGTATGCGTGATGTATGTTGTGTAGTATGTGATGTATGTTGTGTAGTATGCGTGTTGTATGTTGTGTAGTATGCGTGTTGTATGTTGTGTAGTATGTGTGATATGGAGTTAGGTTAGGTTAGGTTAGGTTAATATCACGACGAATAAACAGACGTGTTAGAAAAAAAAATTTGAGAAAAGCGTAAAAGTGAAACAAAACCGCTTTATATTATCCTACCAAAGTTTAATAACCTGAAGAAGGGAAAAAAAGACCCAGAAAAATATATTAGGAGTAATATTATAAGACTTTACGCGTTAATAATGTTACCTGAATAATATAACAGTAAAGTGGGGAGAAAATGATGAGGGTGGCGGAAATATTTCATTATAAAAACGACAATAAAACAAAAACGACCATAAAAAATTAAAACCAACACAATAAAACAATAACAAATAAAATCGCCCAATTAAACCAAAAACATCAGAAGAAAATCCTAAAATAAAACCCTAAAAAAACAAGAGCATAAAAAATCACTACCTCCCTACTGACTCAAACCTGGCCAATCACCTCCTCCCACCCCCCCCCCCCCCCCACCTCCCCTCCCACCTCACCCCCTCCCACCTCCCCCTCCCACTCACCCCTCCCACCTCACCCCCTCCCTCCCACCTCACCCCCCCTCCCACCTCTCCCCCTCCCACCTCACCCCTCCCTCCCACTCACCCTCCCCCTCCATGTCTCTCGAGGATCAGATAATCGATTCTTCCGCTAATCTCAGTGAAGACCATATCTCTTTCTCTCTCAGGTCTCCCCATACTGAGAGACATTGTGTTGGGTCTCTATCTATCGATCTATCTATCTATCTATCTAATGTCTATTCAGTACTCACCTCTTCTTCTGTCTCCGGCGAGGCCTCTTTACTTTTTTCTTGCCTGCCCCCCTCATGGTGGCGCCTGTTGACTCTCCTGGAGTCCATGTTTTCCTGGTTGGCTATGTTCTTCTCCACGTCGAGGAGCAGCTGGTCATCCTCCATCCCACTCTCGAACCCCACATCGTGCTCAGAACCTCCTCCTCCTCCATCCATTCCATATCCGTCCCAGCCTCCTCCTCTCCTCCCTCCTCCTCCTTCCTCCTCCTCTCCTCCTCAGTGGCCTCTGTCTTCTTCTTCCTCCTCCTCCGGGCGGTATGTATCGAGCCCTCAGGATATCAGAGTCTGTGTGAGGGTATATATATATATATATATATATATATATATATATATATATATATATATATATATATATATATATATATATATATATTTTCTATATTTTCTTCTTCCTCCTTCTTTTTCCTTTCTGCTTCCTCCATCTCCATTTCATTCCATTCGTCTTCCTCCAATAGGAGATAAGAATATGTAAGAAATGGAGAAAAAAGAGAGAGAGAGAGAGAGAGACGTCCAAAGTAATCCTGAGTCTCTCTCTCTCTCTCTGATGTAAACACAGAAATGGACAATAAGATAAAAAAACAGTAGGAAAACAGACTGTTTTATCAGTCTGTGCCACACACACACACACACACACACATACGTGTCTCATCACCTGTGTTGATCAGTTATTCAGGTAAGATTACAGCAGTTCTGTCCTTGACCTGACCTATAGAGAGTTCCGTCGACGTTACTTAAATGTATAATGTTCCGTCGACGGCTTTAAATCTATAATGTTCCTCAACGTTACTTTAAATCTATAATGTTCCGTCGACGTTCCAAATCTATAATGTTCCTCAACGTTACTTAAATCCATAATGTTCAGTCGACGTTACTTAAATCTATAATGTTCCTCAACGTTACTTAAACAGTTCCGTCGACGTTACTTAATTCTATAATGTTCCTCGACGTTACTTAAATCTATATACGTTCTCAACGTTACTTAAATCTATAATGTTCCGTCGACGTTACTTAAATCTATAATCGTTCCCTCGACGTTCCTTAAATCTTATAATGTTCCGTCGACGTTACTTAAATCTATAATGTTCCGTCGACCTTCCTTAAATCTATAATGTTCCGTCGACGTTCCTTAAATTTATAATGTTCCGTCGACGTTCCTTAAATCTATAATGTTCCGTCGACGTTACTTTAAATGTATAATGTTCCGTCGACGTTACTTAAATCTATAATGTTCCGTCGACGTTCCTTAAATCTATAATGTTCCGTCGACGTTCCTTATATCTATAATGTTCCGTCGACGTTCCTTATATCTATAATGTTCCCTCAACGTTACTTAAATCTATAATGTTCCCTCAACGTTACTTAAATCTATAATGTTCCCTCAACGTTACTTAAATCTATAATGTTCCCTCAACGTTACTTAAATCTATAATGTTCCCTCAACGTTACTTAAATCTATAATGTTCCCTCAACGTTAATTAAATCTATAATGTTCCGTCGACGTTACTTAAATCTATAATGTTCCCTCAACGTTACTTAAATCTAAATGTTCCGTCGACGTTACTTAAATCTATAATGTTCCCTCAACTTTCCTTAAATCTATAATGTTCCGTCGACGTTCCTTAAATCTATAATGTTCCCTCAACGTTAATTAAATCTATAATGTTCCGTCGACGTTCCTTCAATCCATAATGTTCCCTCAACGTTACTTAAATCTAAATGTTCCCTCAACGTAACTTAAATCTATAATGTTCCCTCGACGCTACTTAAATCTATCATGTTCCCTCGACGTTACTTGAATCTATAATGTTCCCTCGACGTTACTTAAATCTATAATGTTCCCTCGACGTTCCTTAAATCTATAATGTTCAGTCGACGTTACTTAAATCTATAATGTTCCGTCGACATTACTTAAATCTAAATGTTCCCTCGATGTTCCTTAAATCTATAATGTACCCTCGACGTTACTTAAATCTATAATGTTCCGTCGACGTTCCTTAAATCTATAATGTTCCGTCGACGTTACTTAAATCTATAATGTTCCGTCGACGTTACTTAAATCTATAATGTTCCCTCGACGTTCCTTAAATCTATAATGTTCCGTCGACGTTACTTAAATCTATAATGTTCCGTCGACGTTCCTTAAATCTATAATGTTCCGTCGACGTTCCTTAAATCTATAATGTTCCGTCGACGTTCCTTAAATCTATAATGTTCCGTCGACGTTACTTAAATGTATAATGTTTCGTCGACGTTACTTAAATGTATAATGTTCCGTCGACATAACTCTACCTTCATATTTATAAAAAATTTGGGTGTGTTCTTCATATTTAGTCTCATGTTCTCTTAGTCTCTTATTCTAATCGTTCTTTATCTTCTTATAGTTAGCTGTGTGTGTGTGTGTGCGTGTGTGTGTGTGTGTATGTGTGTGTGTATCTAGGCCAGTGGGTCATATATAGGATACGTATTACATCAGTGGAGACAGGATACCACCTTGGCCTGGGGAACCCCGTGACCGACACCACCAACCCTCCTCCTTTTGTTTCGTCTGACTGTTGTTTTTGTTTGTCTGACTGTTGTTTTGTTTCTGTCTGACTGTTGCTTTTGTTTCTGTCTGACTGTTGCTTTTGTTTGTCTGACTGTTGCTTTTTATTTGTCTGACTGTTGCTTTTGTTTCTGTCTGACTGTTGCTTTTGTTTGTCTGTCTGTTGCTTTTGTTTCGTCTGGTTCGTTGTTTTTGTTTCGTCTGACTGTTGCTTTTGTTTCGTCTGACTGTTGCTTTTGTTTCGTCTGACTGTTGCTTTTGTTTCGTCTGACTGTTGCTTTGTTTCGTCTGACTGTTGCTTTTGTTTCGTCTGACTGTTGCTTTTGTTTCTCACTGTTACTTTTGTTTCGTTTAGTGTTGCTTTTGTTTGTCTCACTGTTACTTTTGTTTTGTTTGACTGTTGCTTTTGTTTCGTTTATTATTGCTTTTGTTCGTCTGACTGTTGCTTTTGTTTTCGTCTCGGCTGTTACTTTTGTTTCGTTTGACTGTTGCTTTTGTTTTGTCTGACTGTGCTTTTGTTTCGTCTGTGTTGCTTTTGTTTCGTCCTGACTGTTGCTTTTGTTTGTCTCACTGTTGCTTTTGTTTCGTTTTGACTGTTGCTTTTGTTTGTCTCACTGTTGCTTTTGTTTCGTCTGACTGTTGCTTTTGTTTCGTCTGACTGTTGCTTTTGTTCGCCTGACTGTTGCTCTTGTTTCGTCTACGTTACTTTTGTTTCGTTTGAGTGTTGCTTTTGTTTTTGTCTGACTGTTGCTTTTGTTTCGTCTGACTGTTGCTTTTTGTTTCGTCTGACTGTTGCTTTTTTTGTCTCACTTTTACTTTGTTTCGTTTGACTGTTGCTTTTGTTTGTCTCACTGTTACTTTTGTTTCGTTTGACTGTTGCTTTTTGTTTCGTCTGACTGTTGCTTTTGTTTGTCTCACTGTTACTTTTGTTTCGTTTGAGTGTTGCTTTTGTTCGTCTGACTGTTGCTTTTTGTTTCGTCTGACTGTTGCTTTTGTTTGTCTCCTGTTACTTTTGTTTCGTCTGAGTGTTGCTTTTGTTTTGTCTCACTGTTACTTTTGTTTCGTTTGACTGTTGCGCTTGTTTTCGTCTGACTGTTGCTTTTTGTTCGCTGACTGTTATAGTCTGTTACTTTTGTTTCGTCTGACTGTGCTTTTGTTTGTCGACTGTTGCTTTTGTTTCGTCTGACTGTTGCTTTTGTTTCGTCTGACTGTTGCTTTTGTTTCGTCTGACTGTTGCTTTTGTTCGTCTGACTGTTGCTTTTGTTTGTCTCACTGTTACTTTTGTTTCGTTTGACTGTTGCTTTTGTTTCGTTTGAGTGTTGCTTTTGTTTTGTCTGACTGTTGTTTTTGTTTCGGCTGACTGTTGTTTCTGCTCGTTTGTACTTGGTCAAGCGTTGATGTATTTAAGTGAGAAAAAGGCTGTATACTTAAACAAATTAAAATAGAATTTACTGAAAAAAGTGAGATTTCAGTACATTAAAAATCTCTTAACAGTAAACCAGGTAAATTCACACACACACACACACACACACACACACACACACACACACACACACACACACACACACACACACACACACACACACACACAGTGAAGTGTAGCCTCAGTTTCCGTCTCCACCTGCTCCGCCGACTCAAGTCCTCGGGTTCCCAACGAGCTCTCTTGTATACACAACATTCACATCCCAAGCTCACCTATGCCTCCCACCTGGTCTTCCTCCTAAATGCCACACAACGTAAACCCTAGAAAGTGCAAAGAGGCATCAAGATTATTCTCTCCCCTCCACTCACATATCAAGAAGCGCTCAACACACTGACCTTTCGACTCTCACTGACCATCACGACCTCATCTGCAAATTTGTAAGAAGCTCTACACCATCCCTGACACCGGCTCCTACTAACCTAGATCCCTGTCAAAATTGCTGTTCGACACCACAACCGCATCCAGCCCATACGTGCGAACTGATCGCTATAAGAACAGCCCAGTCCCAACCATTGTAAAATTATCAATAACATGTAATAAATCAGTGTATTCCTCCCGTAAACACTGCTCCTTACACCTGTCACTATGTTGAAATGAACTGTAGTTTGAGCTGATCCCCATCTAAGTTATTATATGTCTTACTTGTCACTTATGTTACTTGTATATTATTTGTAATTGTAACCCATTCCCCAAATATGTAACTGTATATTTTCAGCCTTCTGGCTGCAAGCTCTTTCAATAAACCTAATATATTATTATTACACACACACACACACACTGAGAGAGAGAGAGAGAGAGAGAGAGAGAGAGAGAGAGAGAGAGAGAGAGAGAGAGAGAGAGAGGAGAGAGAGAGAGAGAGAGAGAGAGAGAGAGGGAGAGATTTTGGTACGAAACAAGAAATTAGGATTAAAAACTTCCTCCTTCTTCCTTGCCTTCCTCCTCCTCCTGACCTCCCTCGTCCTCTTCCTATTCAAGGTCAGCGTCCACATTCTCAATGCGTACGGTATAATCCCACCCCCCTCCCTCCCTAGAGATACGAAAACGTTTTTATATACGATAATAACTCAGTGAAACATCGATGCTACATGAACCGACTTTTTAATTTTTCTCTCATAACTTAAGTGAGTCAGTTTAATATAATCCTTAGATGTTGTAATTACGTGATGATATTTAACTTACGAACATTTTGAGACTATTAACTCCAGGATAAACATTTACCCTCGCTGGTTAATTAGGTTTTGGTTAGTGACTGGACCTTTTGTGGGGAAACTAATGTTGGTGTTGGTTTTCCTTGGTCCTACTAACCAGCTGACTTGTGTGTGTGTGTGTGTGTGTGTGTGTGTGTGTGTGTGTGTGTGTGTGTGTGTGTGTGTGTGTGTGTGTGTGTGCAAAATACCACTTAGTTACCTGTAATGAAGAAGTTGTCAGCAGCGGCCGTCACATCAGCGTGCATGTTTCGTGCGTATGACGGAAGCACGAGGATGGTCTATCAAGTCTCAGGTGAAGGTGAGGCCAAGTCCACAAAACACGAGACCACACTCAAGAGCACTAACACAAACCAAACACACTCCTGACACACACACACACACACACATCAAGAGCGTCGATACACACAGCTCAACACAGCATCCAAACAGGGAGCTTCAGATACGACAGTCCACCACAGAGCTTTCGGCAGAGCTCATATCACAGGGCACAGCAGACATGTGCTTCTAACTGGGAGCATCCGCAGTAAGACGCCGGGCACAGCAGAGTCACGTTAATACGGCAGAGGATCTTGCTTCAGGGGAGGCGAGATGGTGAACACACACACACACACACACACACACACACACACACACACACACACACACACACACACACACACACACCGGATGCTGATATCACCCACACTCTCTCTGGGCCTTGACACGGCCGCTTGTCCCAGATTAATTATCACCCCCTTCTCTGCCACTACCCCAGGGTACTACATCATCCCCTTCACTGCCACTATCTATCTATCTATCTATCTATCTATCTATCTATCTATCTATCTATCTATCACTCACCTCCGCTGTCCTCCTCTCCCCTCTATCAACTCCTCAAACCAAACAGATAGACAGAGAGACACGTCATCGATATCACCATTATCTTAGGACCACCACATAATAAAATAAAAATTAATATGTAAAGCAGGTTTTTGCCTACACATCTCTCTCTCTCTCTCTCTCTCTCTCTCTCCCGGATGCCTTAACGAGAAAATGATTATGCAAATGAGTGAACCAATAGAGCAGATGGAGGCGGCCACCGGAACACATGGCAGGTATTAAGATGAAGCAAATATATCATACTGGCTTGATGGCTGCCTGTGGTTGAGTGTTAGTTGAGAGAGAGAGAGAGAGAGAGAAGTATACAGACCGACAGAGTTAGAGATAGACGGAATGAAAGAAAGAAAGAGTACACATTAAGTCATACATGTTAAGTCATACGTGTATAATACCTGTGACACCAAAATCTATAATAAGCGAGTAATAATACGTCAAACACGTGTAATAAGTCTATAATAAGTGTGTAATAAGTGTGTAATAAGTGTGTAATAAGTGTGTAATAAGTGTGTAATAAGTGTGTAATAAGTGTGTAATAAGTGTGTAATAAGTGTACTGAGCGTCACAGCTTGAGTCGCCAGGTCTTTGTTGACACTCGATGGGTCCTGTTCACCTGGACTAACCTGGTGACGTCATGGTATAGCACTGGTGACGTCACGGCATAACATTGGTGACGTCACGGCATATGACCCGACTAAATTATCCATGAACACCCTTATTGATCCCTGTGTGTACATAACCGTGTACACTCTGGCCTGTGTGCACACAACTGACGCACACCGTGTACACACTCCGGCCTCTGTGTACACAACTGACACACACCGTGCACACGCTGACTTATGTGTACACAACAAACGCACACCGTGTACACTTAATCTTATACGTGTACTGTACCTCTTGGTTTACACACTGTGTACGGAACTCTATGACGTGTGTGTGTGTGTGTGTGTGTGTGTGTGTGTGTGTGTGTGTGTGTGTGTGTGTGTGTGTAAAGCTTAAGAACATTGGATCAAGTTATGAAAAAGAACACAAAGCAAGAGACTAAAATACAAAATAATAAACACCATCTCTCCTCCTCCTCCTCCTCCTTCTTCTCACTTCTCCTCCTCTTTCTCCGCTTCCCCTCCTATTCCCCTCTTTCTCCTTCTTCCTCCTCCTCCTCCCTCTCCTCGACAAAAACCGAATCGTGACGTGCAGGTCTCGTCTGGCTTAACATGGACAAACAGCCAACGAGTTACGAACGAGAATGAGTCCATGTCTTGTCAGCTGTTACAAGACCAACCTAACAGAGAGAGAGAGAGAGAGAGAGAGAGAGAGAGAGTTTCTTTAATAACTCAGCTGTCCTTCCGTGTAATATCACCCTCATTATATCTGTAGGAGAGTAAACGCAGATTGGTATAAATCTCTCTCTCTCTCTCTCTCTCTCTCTCTCTCTCCCCTTTATCTTTCGAGGCCCTAACAGCATTAGTAACAGCAGTAGTAACAGCAATAGGAGAAACAGCAACAGGTACAGCAGACAGTCTTGTGTAGATCAGTGAAGGGAGGGGCGATGAAATGCTCCCTGGGGCGACCATGTTGTGGCCAATGATGACTGCCTCTATCACACTGTTGGATGGCTGGCTCACCACACCTGATACCACAACCAGCCACAGCCACATACCACATGCCATCACGTTCCAACCACACGCCACACTCTACCTACCACCATTGCCGGCCACACGCCACTACCACAACAACTACTACTACCACTACCACCACCAAACACAAGCCACCGTAACTAAGCACGCCCTGTCCACAAACACCACCACGCCACCACCACCACCACCACCACCACCACTACCACCACCACCACCATACACCACCACTCCACCACCACCACCACCACTACTTCACCACCACCACCACCACCACCACCACCACCACCACCACCACCACTACCACCACCACCACCACCACCACCACCACCACCACCACCACCACTACCACCACCACCACCACCTCACCACCACCACCACCACCACCACCACTACCACCACCACCACACCACCACTACCACCACCACCGGCCTCACTTCCCCATCTCCACCAACCACACACCACAAACCACACACACCACCACCACCAATTAATTACCACCACCACCGGCCTCCACTCTATCCCACTAACCTGCGCCACTACAAAACCATACAATTAACCACCACCATCACCCACCACCACCACCAACAACAACAATTATGGAAATCGATCATCAATACTCTCTCTCTCCCAGCTACTCATTTCCTCCTATTCTCGTACCGTAAACTCCGCCTCAGAACACCAGGCTACGAAAAGTTGTTTACGATCCCATTAATGTCTAAGTTTCCCAAATATTTCTCTCCCTGAAGTTGAGGAGACGTAGCCAGAGTGTCGACGATACACAAGGCGGTAGTTTAAGGCCCTCCAACCGCCAGAACAGCGCCAGTACGAACGATTAATAGCGCCAGGCATTTCCCTTACCCTCACCCTCCTCTTCGCTCTTGTTAGCTTCGGTGCGTCGTTGTGTTGATGATTGGCTGTGTGTGTGTGTGTGTGTGTGTGTGTGTGTGTGTGTGTGTGTGTGTGTGTGTGTGTGTGTGTGTGTGTGTACCAAAACGTAATCTTATACCTGAACGAGTTCGTCATCACCGTCAAACAGGCGTAAAAAGATAGACTGTATACACAGAAGCGTATGAGAGTGGGCGTAAGCACTCACCTGGACGAGCTTGTTATTGGCGTCAGTCATGTGATCGGTGACACAGACGGCGCCCTCCCCCACCAGGCGCTGAAGGATCAAGGCGTACTGGGCGAGACTCCTGTTGGTGAAGTACCTGTTGAACACCTGCAGCTGCACCTGTACCTCCTCCCCCGGCTCCACGTTCCTCCCCACCGGCCACTCCAGCACCTGTAGGAGAGACGGAGCTAGGTTCAAGAGAGAGACACAAGTTAAAGAGAGAAACACTGATAAAAGAGAGAGACATAGGTTAAATAGAGTGAGTGAGTGAGTGAGTAAGAGGTGTGTTTGTGTGTGTGTGTGTGTGTTTTCGCACACAGGGTGGTGAAATGCGTCTAGTGTGGCAGCATTATGTTAGTGGTAAGGTGCAAGCACTGTTTGCTTCCTCTCGCTTTCAGCTGCTGCCGCTGGCTAGCCCTCGTGGCAACACACGGTAACTGGGTGCCTCGTGGGCCCAGGCTAGACCAGCACATGTGCAGCGAATGTGAACGACTCTGCCGTTTCCGTATCGGCCTCTTTAGTCACCTCAAAATTCACAAATGAAGGTGGCATCCCTAATAACTCATATCGTTGTATCTTAGCTGGATGATCGTCATACTCGATTCCGAGTGACAGCAAAGTAGTAGTAGTAGTAGTAGTAGTAGCGTGTGTGTGTGTGTGTAAAAGGGAGAGAGTGAGCGAGTGAATGAGTATGTGTGAGAGAGAGAGAGAGAGAGAGAGAGAGAGAGAGAGAGAGAGAGAGAGAGAGAGAGATATATATAAAACAAGCAGAGATAAAAGAAATAAATCTTCATAGTTTATGAACCCAACTACATCTCTCAGGCTCAGTCATCAATCTATCGTTAGACACATTAAAGTTATAATCACATTTGAGAGATTAATTATCCAATCATTTATTCAGCGCCAATATAAATTCTAAACAACAACAATGCTTCGAAATTTGCTTCACATGATACACTAATCTTCATCAAAAATCGCTATAATACACTTATTGTTTACTGTAATTATCGTAAGTCAAAGGTAATCGTTTTAACACTAAATTACCTACAGTTTATCGCCTCAGCTACATATAGTAATAAAATATCTTAACAGTTCGTCAATAAGTTCAAACTACACAGCGAATCATTTTCAAAATATATCACTTAATGTTTACATGTTATAATCAACACATTATAACACAGTCAGACCAATCAAAAACTTTCAATTCAGTATATAAACTCCTTCACTTTTGGCTTCATTCACAACCACAAATGAATCACCAACTCGTGCTTCATTATAACTAGCTAACACACACACACACACACGCACACACACACACACATACACACACACACACACACACACACGCACACACACACACACACAGACACACACGCAAAACACACACACACACACACACACACACACACACACACACACACACATTAACACAGTATTCCCCAGCAGCGACAATCCTGGGGTTGGAATAATCAACAATGAGTATCTAGAAGCTGGTCTTAATATGAACTGATAATCCTCTCCCTCTCTCTTTATTTTTCATTCATTCGCTGTCTCTTTCTTCCTTTTTTTTCTTTCGCTTTCATTCACATGTTCTCTTTGTTTTTCAATAAGCTTCCTTCATTTAGAGAGAGAGGGTAAGAGAGAGAGAGAGAGAGAGAGAGAGAGAAGGAGGAGAGGGTAAGAGAGAGAGAGAGAGAGAGAGAGAGAGAGAGAGAGAGAGAGAGAGAGAGAGAGAGACAATACTTCAGATACAATTTACTCATTCTTAAAACTTCCTTAACACGACAAAGATGAAGTTAAAGTGACAAGACAAAACAAGAAATCAGTGACATGACCAAACACCAAACTCGCCATGGAAGAAGTTAATGAGCCATGTTAACGAGGTAAGGTCTGACTAATTACGGGTTGAGCCAGAGGGGTGAGTTAGCTTATTTTCTCACTGTTGACACAAGACTAATTGTCGAAACGGTGTGTGTGTGTGTGTGTGTGTGTGTTTAAGGATTCTACCTCCATGCACTGTTGTTAAAGGTCACATAGAGGCCAGGAAATATAGGAAAATTAACCCGGAGGCCACTAAGAGGTCACATGGAAGCCAGTGTAGAAGAAAGAACCCGGAGGCCAATAATATGTCATAAGGAGGTGTAGGAGAATGAACCTGGAGGTCTCTAAGAGGTCACATGAAGACGAGTGTAGAAGAATGAACCTAGAGGCCACATGGGAGCCAAGAGGTGTAAGAGAATAAACCTGGAGGCCACTAAGAGGTCACACGGAGGCCAGGACGGAAAAGGAGACTCACCTCGTCGAAGAAAACATCCTCGCCACAGTCCTCAGAGACCCGGGTGTACTGCGGCACTCCTGTAGGGGAAGAAAAACAGCGTGAGGGAGTGTACCTTACTGCTGGGAGGGAGGAGGAGGGAGGAGGGAGGAGGAGGGGAGGAGGGGGGAGGGGGGGGGGGAGGGAGGAGGAGGGGGGGAGGAGAGGAGAGGGGGAGGAGGAGGGAGGGAGGAGGGAGGGAGGAGGGAGGGAGGAGGAGGAGGGAGGGAGGAGGGAGGAGGGAGGGGAGAGGAGGGGAGAGGAGGAGGACGAGGAGGAGGAGGAGGTTAAAGAGAAAAGAAATGGTCGAGGAGTAGGAGAAAAAGAAGTTGGGGAGAAGTTGAGGAAGAGGGGGGATTAAGGAGGGGAAGAAGGAAAAAGAGGTTGGAGGAAGAGAAGAGGAGAGGAGAGAGGAAGAGAGAGAGGGATATATATATATATATATATATATATATATATATATATATATATATATATATATATATATATATATATATATATATATATATATATATATATATATATATATATATATATATGGCAAAAGAGGCACATATTAAGAGACACTAAGACACACACATTAAGATATATTATTAACACACACACACACACACACACACACACACAGACACACATCTCTCTGGTTGTAATATAATGTCCTACCTATTGTGCCGAGGACTCACCAATACCTCTTAAGATATATGTGATGTGATATTTACTTAAAGTTACAAAATCTGGTTCTTTTAGTTAGTCTATGGTCGCGTGCTGGACAGTGTTGGTGAGACTACAACTCTAACACACATGTAGGAATGAGTAGACAAATACTGCCAGTAATAGTTTCCTTTATTTTCTTATACAGATGTAAGGGTCAAGGTAAGAGTGAGTAATAACGTAATACTAATATATTAATCTATCTTATCTAACCGCTAGAGGCACAGAGCATACAACACAAAGGCCACCATCCATTCACCTCCCTTGACTCATTCAGCCTCTGCCACAGTACCAGCGCCAACACGAGCATTCCACAGCGCCTGGCATTCTCTTCCACTCCGCAATGAAATGCTCAGAGAAATTTCACCTGGACGTACCTTCGCCCACCTCCTGCCTGAGGTACCTTCTTTTTCACACGAACAAAGGCTGTCTTTTCCATCCCATTATAAAACACTTAGGGAACTTACGCCAGGCTAATGTTCGCTCGTCTTCCTCCTGCAAAAGACATTCTCTTACATCACGAACATAAGTGCCCGCCCTAACAGCATAACACACGGCGCGCGGCCAGACACCCAACGTGACAGCAACACCTACAAGATACAGGGTATTAGTCCAACACGCGACACTCACTCAACTCTCCCGTGACATGAACACTAGCCAACACCTCCAGTGATTTACGACCACCACACCTAAGAGATCTGGCCCCGTCACACCTCACCCATCCAGACAATAACATAATAGGTTCTAAAATATTCCTGTTCAGTATATGATTCTTTTCCGGGTGACGGTGAGGATGACAACTACTCCAACAACAACAACAACAACACCAGCAACTACAACAATAACACAGCAACAAAAGTCGAAAAACAGTGTAAGTAAACAACACCAATAGCGATAACACTAGCAAAAACTGTAAACAACAACACCATCATTAAACAATAACAAAAGCATCACCACCACCAACACCAATAGTAGCTACAGCAATACCACCACCACCACCACCACCACCACCACCAACAACAACAACAACAACAACAACAACAATAGCACCACCACCAACAACAGCAGCAGCAGCGACAAACAGAATTATTTCCAGTCTAAGAAACAGATGAAAAACACTTGATATGGTAATTTATTTTTTATTACGTGACCTGTGTGTGTGTGTGTGTGTGTGTGTGTGTGTGTGTGTGTGTGTGTGTGTGTGTGTGTGTGTGTGTGTGTGTGTGTGTGTGAGTGTGTGTGTGTGTGTGTGTGTGTGTGTGTGTGTGTGTGTGTGTGTGTGTGTGTGAGTGTGTGTGTGTGTGTGTGTTAAAAATAGTGCATTCAATCTTTGTTTCTATAAATGAATGTATGTATATAGCATACGTGCGTGTGCATTAAAATAAACAAGTGCGTGCATTCACCTGGGTCTTTGCATGTATGTATGTATGTATGTATGTATGTATGTATGTATGTATGTATGTATGTATGTATGTATGTATGTATGTATGTATGTATGTATGTATGTATGTATGTATGTATGTATGTATGTATCCACGGACTGCCAATATTTACACTGTCCAACACACTAACACAGAAGCATACATAGTTTTATTTATGGCGGCGTCCTTATAGAAGTGTATCTGATGGAGGGACCTGTCTGATGGAGGGACCTGTCTGATGGAGGGACCTGTCTGATGGAGGGACCTGTCTGATGGAGGGACCTGTCTGATGGAGGGACCTGTCTGATGGAGGGACCTGTCTGATGGAGGGACCTGTCTGATGGAGGGACCCGATTGAGGGACTCAGTCTGATGGAGAGGACCTGTCTGATGGAGGGACCTGTCTGATGAGGACCTGTCTGATGGAGGACCTGTCTGATGGAGGACCTGTCTGATGGAGTGGACCGTCTGATGGAGGGACCTGTCTGGATGGAGGACCTGTCTGATGGAGGGACCTGTCTTGATGGAGGGACCTGTCTGATGGAGGGACCTGTCTGATGGAGGGACCTGTCTGATGGAGGGACCTGTCTACGGAGGGACCTGTCTGATGGAGTGGACCTGTTCGATGGAGGGACCTGTCTGATGGAGGGACCTGTCTGATGGAGGGACCTGTGCAAGTGGGGTGACTGGGTGTGTATATATGTGTGAGAGAGAGAAAGAGAGAGAGAGAGATACACGCATTAATACATACATACAAACAGACAGACAGACAGAGCGACCACCCCACAAGCAACAGGCAATAACTTTAAGCCAGGGAACAAGACTCTTATTACCTGTCCACAGTCTCTTATGCATAACTCCCTACGACCTCTGTGACCTCCCATTGCCGCAATCACATCTCATGATCTTCTTTGATCTGCTAGTGACCTCTCATAAACTCTTCTCGTAACCTCCTGTAGCCTAACCTCTCAAGAATTCATATGACCTTTCAAATTTTCTGAAATCATCCTGTGTTACCTCTTGCTTCTTCTCATGGCCTCTCTGGACCTCCGTGACCTCCTGAACCGTCCTCAGTCCTTCCATGACCTGCCTTGACTTCCGTGACCTCTAAGACCCGTATCCTCCCCCTTCTTCAGGTAATAAGCCCCTGGCAGATAAGGACACACACACACTGGGGAACGATTTTCCGATAGAGAATTTTCATTTTATCGTTTTTCATATTATCAGTGAAAGGGCTCTCTCTCTCTCTCTCTCTCTCTCTCTCTCTCTCTCTCTCTCTCTCTCTCTCTCTCTCTCTCTCTCTCTCTCTCTCTCTCTCTATCTCTCTCCTCTCCATCCCTTCCCTTCCTATAGTCTTCCTTTCTCCCTCTCATCCCTACCTCTCTCCTCTCCTCCCCTCCCCTCCCTTCCATCTCCTCCTCTCCCCTCCCTTCCCCGCTTCCCCATCATGTCAGACTCGCCCAGTGGGAACATTAATTACTGCGACCATTAATGATCGGTAATGAGGGAGAGATAATTGATCAGTGTTCCTCTACTCAGGGACTTATTGTGATGCTCCGAGTCTACCGCGCCTCCTACGCCTCCCATGCCATTCCTTTTTAGATGCCTCCACGCCTATGACTCACAGGTGTGGAGGCATCCAAAGAGTAAGGGCGTCTATGTCCCTTTCATTCCCGTCCCTCTGTCATCCTTCCACACCTGTTCCATGTCACACCCTCTTCCGAAGTTTGCCCCCCCCAAACCTCCTCGTCCACCCATCTACATATGTCACCATCCACGCCTCCCCTCCAGCGTCTGTCACCCTCCACACCTCCCCCTCCAGCGTCTGTCACCCTCCACACCTCCCCCTCCAGCGTCTGTCACCCTCCACGCCAGACTTACACGCTTCACGCCACAATAACTTCCCAAATACCTTTCCGTCAACGTAACTCCGCCAGAAACTTACGTCGACAAAACTATTTAATCATTTTAGTAGAGACACGACAAAAAAAAAATACAAAAATAACTCATTATCGCCACAACAAAGGCATCTGATGTTACCTGGTAAATAACAAAGCCTCCACCTATACGTCTCTTACTACCTGTATATTCATAATTAATTACATGGAATGCAGGTAGCCTTTGTGCCCTGTGTATTGACCCCATACCTGTACCTTAATTAATCAACAACAGGTATGATAGGTGACCTTTATGACCTCCCTCCTTCCTATAGCTAAAGAATCCTATACATATAAGACTATAGGTGAAAAAACAACTCCTTTGACCTGTAACTATAAATAAGGTAGTGATTAACTGGACCCCCTTCCATAGAGTATAAAAGAAAATTATTACACTACATCACTACTTGAGTCAACATCACTAATTGAGCCAACACTCTCACCTGTACACTAAATAAAGACTGATAAAACACACAGGTAAAATATCAGTCACCTGGGAATAACAAACAACAATTTATTTCAATAGATAAACCAACAGATAAAACTATGTGAGACAACATGACATAACGAACGAAGATTCTACAGACACTTTTTTTCCTGCTATGGAAGTTGTTATCGCTGAAGTAGGGAATTTATTAGGTGTGGTAAATGTAGTTTGTCATATCTACAGTAGTTGATAAGCTAGAGCCATAAATGACCATTATTTTTTTTCTTGTGATTTACTCTTTATAAGGATATTAATTCTTTTCTTATTCGACATCGCGGAATGTTACCAGAGGTCAAAAGGTCGTAGTCGAAGGTCAAAAATTCAGGCAACGCAAAAAATCCAGGTTTTAGAAAATGTATTCAGTTTACTGTAGTTTTACCTGCTAAGAAAGGGTAATTATGCTTTTTAGTACGTCTTTCGAGGCCTCTGATAATTTTTTGAAAAAGAGTATTAAAAAAAATTACCAAGATTCTGTTTGTGTGCCTTTA